GAAGCCGGCATCGCACACAGACTGCCCAATCGGGCAAGTCAAGACTGTCGCACACAAATAGAACCTTGATAAAAAAAAAAAAAAAAAAAAAAAAAGAAAGAAAGAAAGAAAGAAAGAAAAAAAAAAATTCAAATAAAAGGCGAAGACTTCCCTTAAAAAAATTTTCCCATTCACTTATTTCTTCTTCAATTAACAAATATACATTGAATATGTCTTACAATAACTCATACGATAGAGGGTACTCCTACGGTGGTGATAGAAACGGTGGCTTCAGAGGCGGCCGTGGCGGTGGCCGTGGTGGATTCGGTGGTGGATTCAGAGGTGGCCGTGGTGGTGGATCTCGTTTTGATGAAAGAGTTGAATTATCTACTCCAGAATGGGATATTGACTCTTTACCTAAATTTGAAAAAAACTTCTATGAAGAACACCCGGATGTTGCTGCTCGTTCAGAAGGTGAAGTCGGTGCTTTCAGAAAAGAACATGAAATGAGATGCGATGGTAAAGATATTCCAAAACCAATTACTTCTTTTGATGAAGCTGGGTTCCCAGATTACGTTTTGAAAGAAGTTAAACAACAAGGTTTCCCTAAACCAACTGCCATTCAATGTCAAGGTTGGCCAATGGCTTTAAGCGGTAGAGACATGGTTGGTATTGCTGCCACCGGTTCTGGTAAAACCTTATCTTATTGTTTACCAGCAATTGTTCATATCAATGCCCAACCTTTATTGAGTCCTGGTGATGGTCCAATTGTTTTGGTTTTGGCTCCAACTAGAGAATTGGCTGTTCAAATTCAAACTGAATGTTCTAAATTTGGTGCTTCTTCTAGAATTAGAAATACTTGTGTTTATGGTGGTGCTCCAAAAGGTCAACAAGTTAGAGATTTAGCTAGAGGGGTTGAGATTTGTATTGCCACTCCAGGTAGATTAATCGATATGTTGGAAACTAACAAAACTAACTTAAGAAGAGTCACTTATTTGGTTTTAGATGAAGCTGATAGAATGTTAGATATGGGTTTTGAACCTCAAATCAGAAAAATCGTTGATCAAATTAGACCTGATCGTCAAACTTTAATGTGGTCTGCTACTTGGCCAAAAGAAGTTCAAAACTTGACTAGAGATTATTTAAATGATCCAATTCAAGTTACCGTTGGTTCTTTAGAATTAGCTGCTTCTCATACTATTACCCAACTTGTTGAAGTTGTTACTGAATTCGAAAAACGTGATAGATTAGTTAAACACTTGGAAACCGCCACTACTGATCCAGAAGCTAAAGTTTTAATTTTCTCTTCTACTAAAAGAGCTTGTGATGATATAACCAGTTATTTAAGACAAGATGGATGGCCTGCTTTAGCCATTCATGGTGATAAACAACAAAACGAAAGAGATTGGGTTTTAAATGAATTTAGAACTGGTAAATCTCCAATCATGGTTGCTACTGATGTTGCCGCCAGAGGTATTGGTATGTATACATTTTACTAACTTATTTGTGATGGGTTTAGGACGCATGGAGATGTGTTAATTCATTGGAACTGGTGATACAGGTCATGAATTAATCTTAGTGAAGAACTTTTTTTTTTTTTTTTTTTTTCCTTCATTAAAGAAGGTTTTCAAAAGCTAGCTCTTCAAAGGACCAGAGCCAGAGGAGATGCATGACGAAACGAGAATGGGAAATTGATGAGGTTGCGCAGGTCGCATATCACTCAATGAAGTAAGGAGAGTAAGAGTAAGATTATGTTGGAAAGCATTTTTAGATTCGTATAAAGTGATGATTTCAATTCAATAAAAAGCTTTTGATTGTGTGATTACATTTAAAGCTTTTAAATTCACTTTATGAATTATTTACCCAATGGGGAAAGAATATATAAGTAATGCTTTCTATATAATCAATAAAAGACACACTGAACTCCTTATATTTGTTGTTTCTTTTTTCATTTTTTTAGTAATATCATGTATTTTCTTTGTAGCTTTTAAGCAGATTCAATGACAGAAACCATGCGAGTTCAAACCTAGATTGCAAAAATAAGTGTGCAATGATGGAATTTTATACTAACGGTATTTATTTAGATGTTAAAGGTATTTCTTATGTTATTAACTTGGATATGCCAGGTAATATTGAAGATTACGTTCACAGAATTGGTAGAACTGGTAGAGCCGGTACTACCGGTACTGCTGTTTCTTTCTTTACTGATGCCAACTCAAAAATGGGTGGTGACTTATGTAAAATTATGAGAGAAGCTAACCAAACCATTCCTCCAGAATTACAAAGATTCGACAGAAGAAGTTTCGGTAGTCATATTAGATACGGTCGTGGTGGTGGCCGTGGTGGTCGTGGTGGATTCAGAGGTGGCCGTGGTGGATTCAGAGGTGGCCGTGGTAACTATCAATCTGGTTCCAATGGTGCTCCATTAGGTAACAAACGTCGTTTCTAATCATTTCTTCATGTTCTTTAATTAGTGTATTTTAATTTTTTACAATTAATAGAGTTATTTCTTTTCTTTCCATATTTATTCTAGTTTAATCTTATAGTTGTTCGTTCAATCCCATTGTAGTATACCATTTCTGAGTTGGGTGCAAACGAAGCCAGTTTATACCTTCTTGTTAAAGTCGCGCCTCCACCAACCTTAATTGAATGAAAAAATGAACTCACTTTAGCACTTGCCCGATTAAATAGGAATAACTAAGATTAAACTCCTGACAAACGGTAATTGTTTCCTGTTTACTGGATGCGTATTGACTTCTGGGCCTATTTTCAAAATTGTTCTTCTTAAAAAGTTTGCAGTGTTTAAAAACTCAAGAATCCCTTCGAGGTATCGTTCTAAGCATTTGAAGGTTAAAGTCAGCGAGACCGTTGAAGTGAAATACAAAATGCCATATTATTCTGTTGCCAAAGGTAGAAACGCCGGGGTGTACCACTCGTGGGACGAATGTAAGCAAAATGTTAATGGATATTCAGGGGCAGTTTTCAAGAAGTTCTCTAGTGAAGGAGAAGCGCGTTCGTTTATGAATAATAACGGTGGATCTTCAGGATCTGGTTATTCTTCAGGATCTGGTTATTCTTCAGGATCCGGTGGTTATAATTCTTCGAGATCCGGATATGGTGGAGGGTCATATTCAGGATCCGGTGGTTCTTATAAATCTTTAGAATCCAGTGGTTCTTATAAATCTTTAGGATCTGGTGGTTCTTATAAATCTTCAAGATCTGGGTATGGTTCTTCAGGATCTGGTTCATCTAATTCAGGAAATGGCTCAGGATATGGTTCCTCAGGATATGGTTCCTTAGGATATGGTTCCTCAGGATATGGTGGTTCGTCCAAATCAAAGTCTACTCGTATTTATACTGACGGTGCCTCTAGAGGTAACGGTAGAACCAACACACCAGAAGCAGGATATGGGGTTTATTTCGGACCAAATGACCCCCGTAACGTGGGAAAAGCAATGTCTGAAGTTGACGATGTTAAAGCAAATGTTCCTACTAACCAAAGAGCTGAACTAACTGCAATTAGACACGCGTTACAACACATTGATTCCCAACCCGATTCACAACCTTATACTATCGTAACTGACTCACAATATTCTCAAAAAGCACTCACTGAATGGTCAAACAACTGGCAAAAGAATAATTGGCGTACCAGTAATGGTGCACCAGTTGCCAATCAAGACTTGATAAAAGAGAATTTAAGCTTGATGAATAAAATTAATAGTCGTAATGGCCAAAACTCTGTTCAATTCGAACACGTTAGAGGCCATAATGGTGACCCAGGTAATGAAGGAGCCGATGCTTTAGCCAATTCGGGTGCTGATAAACTGCGTTTCTATTAGTGAAGTGATGAATATACGTCTTATGATTTGTAATAAATGTAGTTACCTATCAATTCTGATCTATTCTCTTATACTGATCTCTCTCTTATAATAATCTCGCTCTCATACTGATCTCTTCTGGTCTATATAATAATCTCTACTGATCTATATAATGATCTATACTGATATGATGTATACACCAATCTCATCAGTATACAAACCTCCGTGCACCAGATATCCTTTCACATGAAAAAGGTCTCACTACAACAAAAAGTGCATGTGAAAAAGAACATCTTTGGGCTTAACGAACTTTGCAACCACAGTCGAGTGAAAAATTTGGGTTTAGATCTAAAATTGAGTAATTGTTCTTTCTAATAAGTCTGGTCAAGGTTCTCAGATCAAGTTTTGGTAAGTGTTTCTTTATACTAAGTTTAATAGTGTTATCGCATTTTAGGGATTGTTGCTTTTTTAATGAAGATCTGAATTACTAGATCTTATTTGCTAATAGAAATAGAGAAACTTGATTATTCAATTGGTTAAAGATGTCGAAGAATACAATTTCAGGTGCTAAAGGTATTACTTTCTCTGGCGAAACGTTTACCGTTCCAGAAACTCATGACATGGTTAAGACGCTATTTGATCCGTGTATTAGAAAATCAATCTGTGAATTGATTATTGTTAGTTTGTTACTTGCTAATGGATTGGTTTTTTGGTTGGTTGATGACTTCAACTTCCAAATCAAGATTTTCATTGGTTTATACATTTTTTGGAGATTGTCTTATAATTTTGGTATTGGATGGTTATTGAATCAACAATCAAATCATAATAGATTGGTTAATTGGTCGATTCAATTAAATATTTTCAATAATGAAAATAAATCGCTTTTATCTAAATTTATGAAGTTGGAAATTCAATCGCAGATGGGTAATGATTACTCGATTTCAGATTATCCAATTGAATTCAATACTTGGTTGGTTTTCAGAAAAATTGTTGATTTAATCTTGATGTCTGATTTTACCACCTTCATTTGCTTGGTGGTTTCCTGTTGTTTGAAAGATGATTGGCAATTCATTCAAAATCAATCAACTTGGTTGATCAATTCAAGAATCGTTATTGGTTCCTTATTGATTTTATTTAATTTATGGGTTAAAATAAATGCTCATAATACTATTAAAGATTACGCTTGGTATTGGGGGGATTTTTTCTTTAGACAAATCAATAATGAAGAATTGATCTTTGATGGAGTTTTTGAAATGGTTCCTCATCCAATGTACTCAATTGGTTATATTGGATATTATGGTTTTGCCCTTATTTCAAAATCTTATACGGTGTTGGTTATTGCTTTATTTGGCCATTTTTTACAAATGATTTTTTTGCATTTTATTGAAAACCCTCATATTGATAAAATTTATGGTCCTTCTGAAAACGATACCGCTTTAGCTAAAATTTTTAAATTGAAGGATTTGAAAAATTTCGATAATGCTGAACCTTTGATCGGATTATGGAACTTTAATTGGTTTAGGGCTAGTGATTTAATTAATTTAATCATTTCTATAACCTATGCCATTATAATCCCTTTCATGAGTTCAATTGCAACTAATTTAGAATTTAGAGGCTATCAAATTACTATTGACAAATTTCTCTTCTCCTTAACTGTTGCCATTAAGTTATTTGAATCAATTGTTGTAAATGTATTATTACTTTTACAAAGTTACAATAAATTTTTCACTAAATGGTATTTACTGAAAAATATTCCAGTTTCAAAGTCTTTGAATAATTGGTCAGTCTTGTATAATTCTTTGATCAATTTGACCTATTCTTCATTTATTGGCTTTAACTTTTACAATCTATTCACAATTCCTTTATACTCTACAAAATTATTAATTCACGATTATTTATATTTAAGAATTTTCTTTGGATTTTTGTTGGTTATAACTCAAATTTGGATTAATTCTTCAATAATTGATCTGATTGGTTACTTTGGATGGTTTTATGGTGATTTCTTCATTCCAAAGTCTTCTTTTTTACCCCATAGATCAACCTTGACTAAAGCTGGTGTTTATCGTTACTTGAATAATCCTGAACAAATTTTTGGTAATTGCGGTATAATTGGTATAACCTTGATAATTCCAAATGTTGAAAATATTATTATTACTTTAATTTGGGTTACTAATAACTTTCTTCGTAACAACTTCATCGAAAAAGTTCATATGATCAAAATCTATGGCGAAGATGAAGTTTTGAAAGATAGTGGGGTTACAAAGACTTTCAAGACTCATTTGTTACCGGATGTTATTCAAAGAAGAATCAGCCATGGTCAAATTTCTTCTAGAGATATTGATTATATTCGCAGTACTTCTAAGTCAGGTCATAAAAGAAGAAGATCTTCCGTTATTGCTGAATCGATTGATAACTTTATCAAGGATTTAAATATCAATAATTATCAAAATAAGATTTCAAAGAAAAACTTATTAAGTTTATCAGCCAATGACGAATTCTCTTCAAGTGATTATGGAATAAGTTTCCAAAATTTATCAAGGGATAAATCAGAAAATCATTATTTCACATATATGGGAGATGAAATTAAAATTGATTGGAAAGCGCCAAAATCCCATTCCAAAAAAGATTGGATTGGATTATATAAAATTATTCAAACTTCTTATTCAAGAAAGAAAACACTAATTCTGTCTCAAGGTAGATGGAATTGGTGTGATTCGGAAACTGAAGGTGAAATGAGTTTTAAAGGAAACCAATTATTTTGGGATGAAGGTATTTACGAATTCAGATATCATTTAGATGGTAAACATGAAGTTGCATTTATTTCTCCACCATTTGAAATTAAGATTAACCAAATTGAAGTTCCCTTTGATAAGGATGAAGAAGAAGTCATGAATTTTGCCAATTCCTTGAAGACTAGCATTTTCGATAAGATAATTGGAAAAGAAATAATTGGAAGCGTTAATACTTCTATTCTGTCAACTTTGATTGAAACAACTAAAACCGATATCATTAAAGTGTATGAGAAGCTTTCCAAATTGATATCAAAGTCCACGGGTATTAAGATTCATTCTAAATTTCTTATTTACTATGAAGATGAAAATGGAGACGAATCGAACGAATTCACTATTAAAAGTTTAAGTTTACAATTGATCAATATTAATAAGATCTTACATGATTTGTCGAACGAAGATGATTTATCAAATGATTACATCAAGAAAACTGAATAAAGTATATAGAAGTAAATAGTTATTTTTTCTAATTTACAACAAATAAAAATAGATATCACCTATGCATTTAACTAATATACAATTAAATCTATTAATCTATCAATTGTTTAATAAGTAAGAATTGATATTCTGCCTTATAATTTTTGACATATCATTACAGCCATTAATTAAGTTATTTAATTTATTTTCATTAATTTCATTTTTATCACCTTCAATCCAAAATGCAACAATTTCATTATTTTTCATATTCATAAAACTTGCAACACATTCTATATCTCCATCATTTATTATCGAACAATCTTTTCTTAATTCTTCTGATTTTTCATTATAAATAACTTGACCACTAGTAACCAAATCCTTTAATTCAATACCAGAATTAACTAATGCAACAGAACTTGAATTAATAGTCCAGTTAATTAAGTTCAATAAAGAGTTTTTACTTGAGTTAAAAGATATGACATTAATAAAGATATCGATGGTTGATTTTGGATATTTCTCTAATAAGATAGAACTTAATAAAGCAGTTTCAACATAAGTTGATATTTTTGTTTCAATATTTGATAAATGGGATTTATCTTGGTTATTAAAAATTTGACTCATTGGTTGATTGATATATGGTAGAAACTTACATTCAACACTGAACGAAGCACGATCAATGAAAGACCCTCTGATTGGTCTTGGACCGAAAACACCAACTTCAATTATGGTATCGTCAATTTCAAAATACGATGAACCGTTTGCATTATTGATTAAACCAGTTTTAATGAAAAAATTTCTTATATCGTTTGATTTTTCAGACTCAGCTATTGGTTCTTGTGAGCTGTTTGGGTCGGACGACTGTCCCAATTTGGGTACTTTAGCATTTGGAGGTCCTAAAAGCCTTCTTCTATCCTGGACGTTCATAATTTGATTAATTAGTTAAATAATACAAGCTTGCCTAAGATGAGTTGAAAAAAAAAAAGACCTGAAGAGAAAAAGAGTTAAGAGGTCCGGGTGTAATCATGTGACAAACAACCGGAAGTCTTTTTTTGGAGAAGAGATGTACGGGTGTACAATAATGGGTCAATACATAGTATATATTAAAGAAAACACTAAAACTAGAGAAGAATTGAAACGATTAAGCGGCAACGTTGTGTTTGAAAATACTTTTCAAGTTAGTCAACTTATGCCTGAATTTTGAATCATTTGACGAAGGGATTTCGTCGATTTCAGTATCTGAGCCATGGTTAGGACCCGAACTTCTGTTTGACCTGAACCTACTCAAGTTTGAGCCTAATGATTCGATAGACTTGATGGAGGATCTTCTTCTTGATAGATTTTCTGAGCTGGACGAGTTAGAGCTGATCGATTTGCGAACTTTCCTGAAAGTTTTCAATACAGCGTCAGCGTAAGTAGCCGAAAAATCGGACGTTGGATTATAAGTGGAATCCACCGAACAAACTTGGATATTGTGTAATTTGAATAAGATAGTTTGAATTGGTATTTTCAAAGGAAGTAAGTTTTCGTTTGGTATTACGAAAAGCTGGAAGACTTTGGAAGTAGAGAGAATAGATGTAAGCTTGAAATTAGCCAAGTAAGACGCTGGATAAGCAAGATCCACCAAGTTAGAGATTGAGTAGGCCTTCCCCATAATCATAAGTTTGATTTGGTTGATATAAAGCAAATTGGAATCATGGATGATTTGATCAAATAAATAAGTGATCAAGTGATGAACCGTCAAATCCTGGTATGATTTATAAACTGGGGCATCGGTTGATGCATGAATATATTCAAATAATGAGCTTAATTTGATCTGTTGACGGTGGATAAAATCGGGCAAGATAATGGTGAATTCTATATCTTCACCAAGGTCATTACCACGAGTGTTAGTGGGAGAAACCTCTTCAAAATGATCACTAGTGATTGGTTCAGGGGTTGTTTCAAACTCATTTTCAGTGTTTTTAAGAGTCTGACACGAAGAACATGGAGTTAGATTCATGAAAAAACTATTTGAATCCTGAATTGATTCTTGAATCAGAGGATCCAGACCCTCTCCGTCCACTTCAATACAAGGATCTAGATGGGTTATAGAGTATATTGCAGTCATAATCGAATGGAAGTCATATAGAGAAAAGAGTAAAGAAAAGGCTAGTAAAGAAAAGATAAGTGGGAAAACAAGGTAATTTCTAAATTATAGACCAAGTAAAAGAGGAAAAAAGCCCGTATCTTATTTTCTGTTGACGCAGGCGGCTTTGATACAAGATAGCGAGATTACCCCGGGTTACTTATAATTTGACCTGATTTAGGGCCACTACACTTTCTTCACTTTATTTCGCTAGCCATAAATCACCAGTTAAGGCTCTTGATTGTTTGCGAATCCTCATGGCATTATTCCATTGGTTTATTACAATGGAGGTTTATAATAACCCCAGATTATTGATCATGCACCCCGCGTGATAATAAATTAACGAGATTTTCGGTCCGATTAAGTAAGCGCTTATATAAGCGATCACCTGGCCCTTATCACGTGTGCATACACACCCGTACACCGGTTAACGTTTAATAGAAGAAATCGCTCTTACTCTATACTCGATTAGTTTTAACTGATAAAGATGGATTTAACAAGAAAGATTGTATACTACACGCCACATGCATACAAGGAAGACTTTGTAAGTGAAGCGATACGGCTGGTTGTGGATACCGTAGAACGGTGCTACCGAGACTTGGGGAGCTTGCACATTCTATATGTGAATGCCACTAATCCAAATCAGCTAAATTCAATAATGATGAGATGTAAATTACAAAATAAGTACGAATGGATGAAAGATGATCAGATGATGAAGGAATTTAAATACGAAAGAATCAGTAATTTGAATGAAGTAATTGAAGTCATTGAAAATAACGAAATAAAAGATATCATAATTATTGAAAACTTACAATTAATTATTAATAATAGTTTTAACGAATATAATGAATTAAATTTAAAAATTGTGAAATTATTTAAATTATTGAAAATGAAAACCAAACAAAATTCAATAGTTATTGATTTAAGTCATCATTCATTTATAAATTATTTACTATAGATACAAAGCAGATATTAAACTATATTATCAATGTATATTTTTTTTATAATTAAACACAAGACAAAAAAATTAAGTTACTTAATAACCTAAAGCAGCTAATTTTTGAGAAGTTTCAGTTTCAGCGTTAGCAGCTTGAGCAACAGCTAATTTTTTGTTAAGAGCCTTCTTTTTAGCGTAGTATTCAGCAGATTGTAATTTTCTCTTTTCTTCTAATTTATCAACAATAGATTCGTATTTCCAACCAACGGAGGTAGATAATTTACCAACAGTGGTGTATTTTCTACCTGGTTTTAATCTTAAAACTCTTAAAGCTTGAGGAACAACAACTCTCTTCTTTTTATCATATGGAGATGGAATACCGTCGAAAACCTTCAATCTTTCTAAAGCAGCTTTACCTCTAGCGGTCTTGTGAGGAATCATACCTCTGATGGCTTTATATAAGATTCTAGATGGGGCTCTGAAATGGAATGGACCTTTGGTTTTATTGTATCTAGAAGCTTTTCTTAAGTAATCATGGTATTTCAATTTGTTTCTGAAAAATTCACCAGAAATGTTTAAAGCTTCACATCTAACAACAACAACTTTTTGACCATTTAAGATTTGTTTGGAGATGATGGAGGCTAAACGACCTAATAAATGGCCTTTACCGTCAATGACAACAACTGGTTGGAAATCAGACATTATACTATTGGATTAATGATGGTCTTGCTATTATAAAAGAAGTAAGAAAAATTCTTTATAAATTTTTTTTTAATGAAAACTGACTTCTCAATACTTTGTGAGGGTGAGAAGCCTACAAAATTTTCACGATTCTATGGGGACTGTATACTGGATGCATTTTTTTCGCTCTTTTTTTTTCTTTTTGTTAGTGCTCAAAGGGTGTACTAGTGTGAGATGAGCCTGGGTTGGCTGCTTATGTAAGCGCGCGAGTGCGAGTAGTTGGTGGTGGGTCCTTTTTTGGTGTGTCACGTGGTGTGCTGGATGTACCGAAGTATAGTCACATGACGAGAGAGGGCACAAACCCTAATGGTTTTTTTCCGATAATATATGGATTTGTTTTTTTTGCAACAGTTAATTATTGAACGATTGACGATGCTACACTTAACCATTGAACGATTGACGATGCTACACTTAACCATTTACTGAACGATTTATTATCAAAATAATCTATAAAATATAAATAGGAATTAAATTAAAGAGTGATTTCTTTGGCAGCAACTAATTGGTTAACAACAGAAACAATTGCCTTTAAGGAAGATTCACTAACATCAGTATCAATACCAACCCCCCATTTACTCAGTTTTTCACCATTTGAATCAATATAACCTAAATGAACATAAGTGGCGGCTTTGACCTCGGTACCGGAACCTAAAGAATGTTCGGTATAATCTTTAACTTCTAATAAAGTACCAAATTGTTTAGAAATTGCATCAATAAGAGCAGAGATTGGACCGTTACCTTGACCTTGAATGGTAACTGGTTCATTGTTCACGACCAAGTCGGCGTGAATAGCTCTCTGGTTCTTGTTTTTGTTGTTTTTATTGTTCAACATATCGAAATCTTTCAAAACAACTGGACTTGAGTCCTTTTGCGAAAAGTATTCGGTTTTAAAAATATTGATAATTTCTTCAATTTTCAATTCTCTACCTAATTTATCGGCTTGATTTTGAATAACTGAACTGAAATGAACTTGTAATTGTCTTGGTAAATCTAATCCTAAGGATCTTAAGATAATCCAGGCGGCACCTCCTTTACCTGATTGTGAATTAACTCTAATAACTGCTTCATAATTTCTACCAATATCTTTTGGATCCAATGGTAAGTATGGAATCTTCCATTTCATATCCCCTTTAGCATATCTTTCTTCTGCTTTAACAAATCCTTTTTTAATAGCATCTTGATGAGATCCAGAAAATGCACAAACAACTAATGATCCACTATATGGGGATCTTGGATGGACTTGAATTTTATTACATCTTTCACTGATTTCAATGATTTCTTCTAAATTACTAAAATCTAATTCTGGTGAAACTCCTTGAGTGTATAAATTAAGGGCAACAGTTACTAAATCAACATTACCAGTTCTTTCACCATTACCAAATAAACAACCTTCAACTCTATCTGCACCTGCCATGACCCCTAATTCAGAGGCAGCAACACCGCATCCTCTATCATTATGAGGATGAACACTAACACAAACTTTTTCTCTTTCACTAATATGAGTACAGAAATATTCAATTTGATCAGCATAAACATTTGGGGATGCAACTTCAACAGTGGCTGGTAAGTTGAAAATTATTGGATTTTCAACAGTTGGTTCCCAGACTTTTTTAACGGCTTCACAAATTTCAACTGCAAATTCAGTTGGGGTATCACTAAAACATTCTGGACTAAATTCGAAAGTCCACTGAGTTTCTTGCATTTCTGGATCATCTTTAGTTAATGATTTAACTAATTTAGTACTTTCAATAGCTTTTGCAATAGCATCTTCTTTAGACATATTGAATACAACATCACGGAAAACATCTGATGTAGCTAAATAAGTATGAATAGTGGCCCTTTTAGCACCTTTAACCGATTCAACGGTTCTTCTAATTAATGGTTCTCTTGCTTGAGTTAAAACTTGAATACTAACATCTTCTGGGGCATTTTCAACTGCATATCTAGTAAAGTTAAAATCAGTCTGAGAAGCCGATGGAAAACTAACTTCAATTTCTTTAAATCCAATTTCTATTAATTTGTGGAAATATTCTTTCTTTTCAGCTATAGTCATTGGATCTGGTAATGATTGATTACCATCTCTTAAATCAGTAGATAACCATCTTGGTGCTTTGGTTATACTGTTATTTGGCCAAGTTCTATTTGGTAATGGAACTCCTTTAAAAGCAGTATATTTAACTGATGGATCTTTTAACATATTTGAAAATGGCTTTTTAACGGCAGATCCAGCCGCCTTTTGGAAAAGCACTGCGGTTTGCTTAAACATCTTTACCTTCTAAATGAGTAAATAAGTATTATCCACAAGTCTGTGTGTGTTTTTTGCCAATACGGAGAAACCTACAAGAATATATAAGGTGGTGAAAAAGTGAAAAAAAAAAAAAAATCAACTGAAAAAGCTAAAACGGCCCGCTAAACTAATTACAAAACTAAAAGAAGAGTAACAGTTGCGACAAAAAACACCTGTTTCTCCTCATTATATTACTATACTATCCGCTTTACAGCATTTGAAAGTACTTTTTATGTACTAATGGTGCGTTTCGTGGTTATGGACGGAAAGAATATAGCCCAACCAGGAATAACCTTGTGGAAATCGGAGTAGCGCATCAAGAAGTAATTTTGAGCGGTACCGGAGCTCTTTATCGAGGAGCCAGTCACGTGTACGCCGAAGAAGTTCTAAGGTGGGGAGCGGGGCGGAGATGGGTAGAGTGTTTGGTGTACGGATGTGTTGGTACGTTTTAGCACCTGTTCACGTTTTAGCTTATTGGTTGAATATTGTATAATAGAATAGAAGAGGAGCTTAGAGTATCAAAGACCATCTGGGGACCTCAATTGTACTGTAAAGTTTTGTGTTGAAGTTTCTGTTTACTTGAGGTATTGATATTAGATTTAGTCAGAAATTGTGACAAAACTTGCATAAATTAAGTAAAAGTAATTGGATTCTTACCATTTGTCTTGCAGAACTTCAAAGCTCTGTAAACGAGGAGCAGATAAGATACAGTGAAAACGAAAGAGTATGAGAACTGATATCTTCCTAGATGTATAAAGTCAACCTACGACAAGCGAACCTACGACGTGTCAACCTACGACGTGCCAACCTCCGATGAGCCAAATTTTGCAAAACACAGAATCAACATAACCTCAACGAGTATAGGCTTAACTAAGTAATTCAAAGAAGACTAGCTAGGTCTTTTAATTGTTGCAAATTCCGGGGCTCACGTGACCGTTATTTTTACTGTGGGACCATTATTTCTTTTTGATTTTTCATTTTTTTTTTTTTTTTCGATTTGTTAGAGCTCATCTCAGTTTTTCCAATTAGTAAATTTTTTTTCAGCTGCTTTACTTTAAAAAGGATACTATTTTTCTCTTTTTCTAATCTTTTCTTAAGACAATTCAAATCCAGGAAATCATTTATCATGGCTAAATCATCATCTAAAGCTGCTAAAGCTACCAAGGTTAGTAAGAAGGAAGTGAAGAAACAAGAATCATCATCTGAATCCGAATCTTCATCATCAGAATCATCCTCCTCATCATCAGATTCTGAATCTTCCGATTCTGATTCTTCTGATGAAGAAGAAGAAAAGAAAGAAGAAAAGAAGGAATCATCCGACTCTTCTGATTCTGACTCTTCCGACTCTGACTCTTCTGATGAAGAAGAAGAAAAGAAAGAAGACAAAAAAGAATCTTCTGATTCTGATTCTTCCGACTCTGATTCTTCTGACGAAGAAGAAAAGAAAGAAGACAAAAAAGAATCATCATCTGATTCTGATTCTGATTCTTCTGACTCTGACTCTTCTGACGAAGAAGAAGAAAAGAAGGAAGAAAAGAAAGAATCATCATCTGATTCCGACTCTTCATCCGATTCCGACTCTTCATCAGACTCCGACTCCGACTCCGACTCAGAATCAGACTCTAAAAAACGTAAAGCTGATTCCGAATCCTCTGAAACTGCTTCTCAATCATCTACTGAGGAACCAGTTAACAAGAAAGCTAAAACTGGTGAACCAGCTACTTTATTCGTTGGTAGATTATCATGGAATATTGATGATGATTGGTTAAAACGTGAATTCGAACCAATCGGAGGAGTTATCGGAGCTCGTGTTATCATGGAAAGAGCCACTGGTAAATCCAGAGGTTATGGTTATGTTGATTTTGAAGATAAATCATTTGCTGAAAAAGCTTTAAATGAATACCAAGGTAGAGAAATCGATGGTAGACCAATCAATTTAGATATGTCAACTAGTAAACCACACCAATCTAATCCTAAAGTTGAAAGAGCCAAACAATATGGTGATGTTCCATCAGCCCCATCAGATACTTTATTCATTGGTAATTTATCATTCAACGCTCAAAGAGATAACTTATTTGAAATCTTCGGTGAATATGGTCAAGTTGTTAGTTGTAGAATCCCAACTCATCCAGACACTGAACAACCAAAAGGTTTTGGTTACGTTCAATATTCTTCTGTTGATGAAGCTAAAGCTGCTTTAGAAGCCTTAAACGGTGAATATATCGAAGGTCGTGCATGCAGATTGGACTTCTCTACTCCAAAGGAAAGACCAGCTGGTGGTAACCGTGGTGGCTTCGGTGGTAACCGTGGTGGTAGCCGTGGTGGCCGTGGTGGTTTTGGTGGTCGTGAAAGAGGTCCTCCAAGATCTGGTGCTAACTCTGTTGAATTTAAAGGTACCAAAAAAACTTTTGATTAATCATTTATTTCTTTCTTGCAACTTCAAAATTTCATAATTCTTTCTTGTACATTACTATGATTTTTATTCTTTTTTTTATATACTTTTAATCATACAACTTTATACTTTTTGCAACAAAAATACACACCCGTACATACTTTCAATAAATACCGCCCGTACATCTCCGTTGACCAAAGCGCACGACCTTTTTTTTTACCTTTTACCTCACCCGCGCACCCGTGCACCGGGCCGCCTCGCTCCAACCCCCGCCTCCACACCATCAACTGGCAAATAGTGCCCCAATCATTTATTGTAACCCCCTTAACGATTAGACAGGGTTAATGCTCATGATCTTTAGCATCGTGTGTTGTGATGCTGTCAATTTGTTGAGAATTTCTCGTGTTTTCTTATTTTTATTGACACATTGGCACATTACACGTACCGTGACCGAGTAGTCGGGTTGGTGGTAGAGTGAGTAGAGTGGGTAGAGTGAGTAGAGTGAGTAGAGTGAGTAGAGTGAGTAGAGTAAGAGTAGATTAAGAGTAGAATCAGAGTAGTAGAGTAAGAGTAGAAAGTAGTGTGGTGTACCGGCGTAAAAATTAGTGGTGAGCACCAAAAATAAAAATAGGTCTGGATTACCTCCACGAGAAAACTACTTCTATCTATTGAATATTATCTTTATTACGCCAATTTTGACTACAAATTTGTTTAATAGTTACTTTCTGTATCGTTCCTGCCTTGCTATACCTTTGAGAAATCGTTTCAGTTTATTAAAAGTCGTTTTGCTCCAAGTATTAGTCAGTTATAGCTTAACCGCCCAAATCTCCGAGCTAATCCTTTCCATCCCGTTCAACTCCGTATACTCAGTCTCTTTGAATTGAATATGAGACGTGCTGTATCAAAGATTATACCTAGTAAGCTATCCGGTTCTGATGGGTTTGGTATTCTTCATAATCATCACGATCATGCCAATGATTATAGCATAGAAGATCATAATCTACCGAATAACCATAATAATAATAGTAATAATGGACATTCATTTTTCTCAAATAGTCTATCTAATTTGTCAAACAAGATTGATTTCAACTCGGTGGAAGATTTTTATATCGTTTTAGATAATCCTCATAATTCATGGCTACCAGGAGATGAAATTAGTGGTCAAATCATTTTTTTAACCAAAAAAAATATTGCTAATATTATAATAACACTCTCCTTAATTGGTTATGTTAAATTGAATGCGTCTTCTCATTCTAAATTGAGACCAATCAAACACAATCTATTCCATCATACCATTAAAATTTATGGTGGTGATGAAAATCTTAGTAATCACGAAGAATTCTCAAATGGGCTATTTAAGGGAGAACATCGATTCCCGTTTATTGTTAAATTGCCAAATAAAAGAATATTCACTAGTATTGATTTTGGCAGAGGCTCAATTGTTTATTTATTGAGAGCGGCTATTGGTAATCATGAAGTATCAACAAGTTATTCCCCTTCTCAAAGTTCAGAAAATAACTCAATATCAAATTCTATTCCCAACTCAAATTCAAATTCAAATCCTAGTTCAAATGCAAATTCTCCAGGTAACTTAATTAACAAAACAAGACATTTAAAAATCTTATCTTCTCCAAGTCATACAAGCGAAAAATTTATTACTTTAATAAATCCAATTGATATTTCTAAACTACCTATTCCAAAACCTAAAAAATTAATCATCAAAGATCCTCGTCAAACTAAAAAATTATCAAGAACTCAACTGTCTACTTCCACCATCAATACAATAAATACTTATAGTACTTTTTCTTCAAATACTTCAGATAACCCTGAGAATGACTTAAATTCAAATAACGAGTCAAATAATGTTAATATATCTACTCCCCCTTCGGACTTGAAACCAGAATCTATCCGATTATCTTTGGAAATCCCTAAAAGAGGTTATCTTCGAGGCGAATTGATTCCAATTAAATTAAATATTAATCATTTGAAAAAATTACAAGACGTCAATGGTATTATAATCACTTTGGTCAGAGTCTGTCGTTTAGATAATGGCTCAAATGGATTATTTGAATCTTTCCGTAAAGATTTACAACAATCAATTATTCCTCTTTATGTTGATCCGGTTACTTTTAAACTGGAAATTAATTCAAGTGTAAGAGTCCCCGCTGATGCTTTCCCTACTATTCTGGGTTGTCCCTTGGTTTCTTTCCAGTACTTCATTGAAGTTTTGGTTAATTTATCCGGTAAATCAGTCAGTATAGATGGTAACACTGATCATCTGTCAAATAAACAAAAAAAGGATGATTCTTCTCATTTATTAGAATCTTTACAAAAATCAAATGGTGATTTGAAAAATTTCGAATTATTCAATTTCAATAATAACAATTTAATTAATCAAAATGAAAGATCAGATTTTATTAATACCGATAAATTTAAAAGAATGAAAAAATTTATTCAAATCACTACTGAAATAATTATTGGTACTCATAAACTGGAAAGTAATGTAAATAGTCCATTGAGTGAAGAAAATAATAATTTATCAAGAATTGGTAATCAAAATGTTAACGGCATTTCTCCTTTATCAAGAAGATCTTCCCTGTTTTCTGGTTCCACCGGCTCTCCAAATGCTTTTAGTCAAAATGGTTCTTCCGCTTCTCCTCATATGAATGATCTTACCAATAATACCGCTCCTCCGCCACCTCCACATCCTTCTTCTTCAAATCAAAATAATATACCCTATATAAATGTTATTCCTGAATCAATGGCTATTAATAATTTTGAATCCCCTCCTTATTTTGATCAACAACAACCTATTCCACACTATAACGAAATTTCAAATAATCCTATCGCTGCTCCCGATGCATTGGGTTCTTCAAATCTTATTCCTTTACCTAACCAACCAGAATTATCCGAAAAAGATCGTATCAAAGCTCATGAATCAAGTTTATTACCTTCAGAACCTCCCTTAGATTTGGATAATACCTCGAATGACGTTGCACTGGACCATGACACTATAAGTCCAATTGATCAAAATAATGATATTTTAGAAAGTTTACCAAATTCGACTGACCAAAATAATGAACATAATAATACAAATGACGCTTATCAATTTTTTAGTAATAATTCCATTAATGACGATAATGAATTATATCATGACGCTCCAAATATTACTTCGAATGTTGATAATGATCAAGATTCAAAACTTGACTTTGTCCCTAATTACGAACTGGCTAATAATGATAGACTTTTAATTTCTAATTCAAACTCCAATAGTACTGGTACTAATGGCCATTGAATTAAAGCTTACAGATGACTTTGATGTGTTCCGAACTTTACTTCTTTCCATTTTTTTTTTTTTTTTTTTCAATACCCTACTTTGTATTTTTTACAGGTTTTTTAACGTTTTTTTTTTTTGCAATATTCTATAGATTTTTTATAACATATGCATTTAGAGACCAAACCAGCTTTGTATGTAAAGAAGTTAATATTTTTAAATACCTTGTATCATTTGATTAATCTTTCTTAACTCTTCAGTTATTTTAATATTTTCTAAAGTTAAATCATCAAATTTTTTTTCAACTTCAGTTATATCATTAGTTAAATTTTTAACTAAATCCTCTAATATTTGAATTTTATCTTCATTGAGTTTTAAATTTTCTGAATTTTTATTAAAAGTTGCATTTCTTCTTTCAAATCTCTCAGTTAATAGAGTTTCTTTACTTTTTAAAGCTTTGAGTTCATACTCTTTTTCAATTGATTTTTGTTTTTCTAAATCATGTAAGCGTTTCAATTCATAATATTTGGAGTGATTATTATCTAAATTTTCTTTTAATTCGGTGATTCTTGAGTTAAGCTTATCCATATTAAAGACCTTAACAAGAGAGAAGAAGAAAAATTGCAGCCGTTAACGAATATACGCTAAAACAATAATTAATTTATGAAGGTACCAAAAGAATTGGAATCTTTATTGTTTATATGAACAAGATGAATGGAAAATAACAAGTCTCGCTTTATTCTGAAAACCAACTAATATAATGCAATAATGCCACTTATTACTCGAAAGTTATTTGTAGCAGAACTAGTACGATTTAAGACGTTTGTGTGTTTGTAAATATATAAATCTGACTAAGATTTTGATCTATACTACAACTATAAACTCATGAACACTTCATCGAGACTAATTTCAGATTAACCCTGAACATATCGTCCAAATCAATAACACGAATCAGTTTGTAGGCATCGTCAAGTCGATTTGTAAAATTTGAATTTGAATTTTTTTCTCTTCAATGTCTTTGTACTTTGAATACTTTTATCTCGTCTAAAAGTTGCAACCTTTATTCCAAACGATTATACAGCTACAAGCTTACCAGTAATTGAAACAAATTAACGCTGATAAAAATATTAATTATAGTAGAAGACAAAAGGGGTAATTAAAAAAGGTTATTAAAAGGAAAATAAAGGTATATATTTAAAAAAAAAGAACAATACTCTAAAGTTAAGGTACACGTAGGAACGGAGAATATTTGTTGGAGCAACGGGTTTTCGGATATGGTTATCCTTTTTATACTTTCAATAAAGTTTTATTAGGGCAAAGACAATTTCTTTTTCATGTTTTTCTTTTACATTTTTTTTTTTTTTTTTTTT